TGAAGCACCACCACAACATACACCCTACACACCATCTACATACCATATACACCATGAACCACCCAGTCCTTATGCACTCTCCCACTTACACACCACACAACCTTCAGATCATCTATACCCAAAACACCCAATGAACCACCACCACAATATACACCCTACACACCATCTACATAACATATATACCATGAACAACCCCGTCCTTATGCACTCTCCCACTTACACAGCACACAGCCTTCAGACCATCAACACCCAAATTACCCAATAAACCACCACCACAACATACACCTCACACACCATCTACATACCATATATACCTTGAACCACCCCGTCCTTATGCACTCTCCCACTTACACACCACACAGCTTTCAGATCATCTACACCCAAAACACCTCAATGAACCACCACCACAACATACACCCTACACACCATATACATACCATATACACCATGAACCACCCCATCATCATCCACTCTCCCACTTACACACCACTTAACCTTCAGATCATCTACACCCAAAACACCCAATGAAACACCACCACAATATACACCCTACACACCATCTACATGCCATGTACACCATAAACCACCCCGTCCTTATGCGCTCTCCCACTTACACACCACACAGCCTTCAGACCATCTACACCCAAAACACCCAAATGAACCACCACCACCACAACATACGCCCCACACACCATCTACATACTATATACACCATGACCACCCCGTCCCTATGTACTCTCCCACTTACATACCACACAGCCTTCATACCATCTACACCGAAAACAACCATTGAACCACCGCCACCACAACATACACCCTACACACCATCTACATGCCATATACACAATAAACCACCAAGTCCTTATGCACTCTCCCACTTACACACCACTCAACCTTCAGATCATCTACACCCAAAACACCCAATGAACCACCACTACAATATACACCCTACACACCATCTACATACCATATATACCATGAACCACCCCGTCCTTATGCACTCTCCCACTTACACCCCACACAGCCTTCGGACCATCTACACCCAAAACACCCAATTAACCACCACCACAATATACATCCTACACACCATCTAAATACAATATACACCATGACCACCCCGTCGTTTTGTACTCTCCCACTTACACACCACACAGCCTTCAGACCATGTACACCGAAAACACCCAATGAACCACCGCCACCACAACATACACCCTACATACCATCTACATACCATATACACCATCAACCACCCAGTCCTTATGCACTCTCCCACTTACACACCACACAGCTTTCAGATCATCTCCACCCAAAACACCTCAATGAACCACCACCACAACAACATACACCCTACACACCATCTACATACCATATACACCATGAACCACACCATCCTCATGCACTCTCCGACTTACACACCACACAACCTTCGTATCATCTACACCCAAAACACCCAATGAACCACCACCACAATATACACCCTACACACAATCCACATACTACATATACCATGAACTACCACATCATCATGCACTCTCCCACTTACACACCACACAGCCTACAGACCATCTACACCCAAAACACCCAATGAAATACCACCACAACATACACCCTTCACACCATCTACATACCATATACACCATGAACCACCCCGTCCTTATGTACTCTCCCACTTACACACCACACAGCTTTCAGACCATCTACACCCAAAACACCCAATGAAAGACCACCACCACCACAACATACACCCTACACACCATCTACATACCATATACACCATGAACCACCCCGTCCTCATGGACTCTCCCACTTACACACCACACAGCCTTCAGACCATCTACACCCAAAACACCCCATGAAACACCACCACGACCACCCTTATATTCTCTCTCCATTACACACAACATATATGCTCTACAATGCACCCATGAGCGACCACGATCCTTACACTCTCTCTCCCTTGCAAACCACACAACCTACAAAAGCTCTACATACAAAACACCTTGAACAACCACCACCCTTATACATACTTCTCCTTACACACCACACAGCAAACATATCCTCTGTATACAATACACTACATGAACCACAATCATCCTTATACACTATCTACCGCACACACCACACAGCCTACAAACGATCCACACACAATACAAACTATGAAGCACCACAATTTTGATACACTCTCCACCTTACATACCTCACAGCCTACAGACCATCTACACATAATGAAAACACTGAACCATAGCCATCCTTGTAAACTCTCTCCCTTACATACCACGCAGCCTACAGACCATCCACACACAATACACACAATAAACAACCATCATCCTTATACATTCTCTCCCTCACTCACCACACACCCTACTTCCTATATATGGTCTCTACACAATACACACCATGTACCACCATGTCTCTCTCTTACACACCATACAACCTACAGACACCTACACACAATACACACCATGAATCTTCTCCATCCTTCTACACTCTATCTGTTACACACCATACAACCTACAGACACCTACACACAATACACACCATGAACCACCTCCATCCTTCTACACTCTCTCTCTTACACACCATACAACCTACAGACACCAACACACAATACACACCATGAACCACCTCCATCCTTCTACACTCTCTCTCTTACACACCATACAACCTACAGACACCAACACACAATACACACCATGAAACATCTCCATCCTTCTACACTCTCTCTCTTACACACCATACAACCTACAGACACCTACACACAATACACACCATGAATCTTCTCAATCCTTCTACACTCTCTCTGTTACACACCATACAACCTACAGACACCTACACAGAATACACATAATGAACCACCACCTTACGTATACACAGTCTTATACACCACACAGCCTATGTATCCTATACACAAAATACAAACTGTGAACAACCTCCATCTTTATACAGTCTACCCCTTACACACCACATAGCCTACAGAGCATCTACACACAATACACACCATGAACCACCACCTCCCGTAAACACTCTCTCTCTCTTACATACCACACAGCCTATATATCCCCTACACACAAGGGGATACTGTGAACAACCTCCATCCCTATAAACCCTACCCTTTACACACCAGGCAGCGTACAGACCATCTACACACAATAGACACCATGAGCCACCATCTCCCTTATACCCTCTCTCATTTACACACCACACTACCTACATATCCTCTGCACACAATACACATCATGAACAACCTCCATCCGTATACACTCTCTCCCTTTAACATCAGACAGCCTACAGACCATCTACACACAATACACACCATGAACCATCACCTTCCTGATACACTCTCTTACATAAACATCACACAGCGTACACAAAACTCTACACACAATAGACACCGCGAAGCAGCACAATCACACTCATGGAAACTTTCCCTTACACACCACACAGTCTACGAACCATCCACACACAATATATAATATGAACCACTACCATCCGTATACACCTCACAGCCTATAGGCCATCTGCTCATAAAACAGCTTGAATGACCAGGGCCCTTATCCACTGTCCTCGTTACACACCACCCACACAGTCTACAGACCATCTACACACAATGCAAACCATCAACCACAACCATCCTTATACCCCCCCTCCCTTACACACCACACAGCCTACTGACTATCTGCACTGAATACACACAATTAACAACCACCATCCTTATACATTCTCTCTCTCTTACACACCACACATCCTACAGACCATCTACACACAATACCAATACAAACTATGAACCACCACTCTCCCTCTTACACATCACACAGCTACATATCCTCTACAAACAATACACACCATGAACCACCACCACCCTTATAAATCTCTCTCTTACACACCACACAGCCTACATATACCCTCTAAACAGAATACACACCATGAACCATCACCTCCCTTGTACACTCTCTCCCTTACACATCACACAGCCTACGGACCATCTGCAGACAATACAAACTATGATCCACCTCGATCCTCATACACTCTCTTCCATAAACATCACACAGCCTACATACCGTCTACACACAATACAAATTATGAACCATCACCTTCCTGATACACTCTCTTCCATAAACATCACACAGCCTACAGACCATCTACAAACAATACACACCATGAGCCATCACCTCCCTTGTACACTATATCCCTTACACACCACACAGCCTACAGGCCATCTACACACAATGCCAATACAAACTATGAACCACCTCCATCCTTATACACTCTCTCTCTTACACACCACACAGCCTACAGGCCATCTACAAACAATGCCAATACAAACTATGAACCACCTCCATCCTTATACTCTCTCTCTTACACACCACACAGTGTCAATTGTATGATTCCAACTATAATAGATCCCATGATCCATCTTCCCCTTGTTCTTTCTTTCCCCTACAAACCTCACAGACTATATACCCTCTACACCCTTTACACACCGAGACCTATTTCGCCCTGAACGCCTCTTGTCCCGGCACACCACAGAGCCCACCTTCCTCTGTACACAATACACTACATGAAACATTCCACCCTATACTATTCTCACCGTGCACCAATGAAACACCTCCCCTTTACACTATACACATACACCCACCCCCACACACATACACATAATGTTAAAAGCGGCGTTAAACCTAACTGACTCACTCACTAATGTAAGTACTTTCGCCTATGACATCGGTATCAAATACATCCCCATCAAACATGGGTGTATGCTTACATTACACTGACCCTTCCATGAAAATTTCCCTTTCATCTTGGAGAAGCTATATAGCGCGTACATCATTTACACTCCCCTACATCGATAGTCACGTCACTACAATCAAAATTCATAAACATGCTGAGGCATAATCGTTCATTCACTACCATTGTATGTACATATGAAGACGCTTGATTTGATGCACAATGCAGTGGTGTGATTAGATGCATAACTATATTGTTTTCTGTCATTTGGGCAGGTATCGTTATTCAACTTTGAATGATGAGCAAAGACACAATATCAGCAGCAGGGCACTTGTGTTATTGCTGATGATAACCAAAAAGACACGCACTAGAAATAACAGTATCTGAACAATGATTGATAATGGTGAGCAGCGGTCGTAGAACACGGAAGGATGGATGTCACAGTATGTGATAATGAGGACACGGGGCACATGCAGACAAGAAGTAAAAGGTTGACCCAGGTTGAGAGTAGAAGGACGGATGAGACAGAATATGAAGCAAAGCACAGAGAGAAGGTGGACAACCGATGTAGAGGGTTGAGGCAGGTGAAGGGAAGGGCGGATATCATGCAGAATGAAGCCAAAGGGAGCGTGCAGGTGGAAACTAGAAGTAAAGGGTTGACCGGGGCAAAGAAAAGAAGGAAGGGTGAGACAGAGGGTGAAACCAAGGAGAGAGTGGATGTGGAAACTAGAAGTAAAGGGTTTACCGGGGCAAAGAAAAGAAGGATGGGTGAGACAGAGGGTGAAACCAAGGAGAGAGTAGAGGTGGAAACTAGAAGTAAAGGGTTGACCAGGGCAAAGAAAAGAAGGATGGGTGAGATAGAGGGTGAAACCAAGGAGAGAGTAGAGGTGGAAACTAGAAGTAAAGGGTTGACCGGGGCAAATAAAAGAAGGATGGGTGAGACAGAGGGTGAAACCAAGGAGAGAGTGGATGTGGAAACTAGAAGTAAAGGGTTGACCAGGGCGAAGAAAAGAAGGGTGGGTGAGACAGAGTGCGAAACCAAGGAGAGAGTGAAGGTGGAAATTGGAAGTATGGAATTATCACAGGGAAAGCGACAAAGGTCACAAGTAGAAATAGGTGCTGGTAGCAGGCAAATGCAGGTGGAGAAAAAAGATAAAGGTTCAAACATGACAAGAAAGTGGCCAAAGAAAGGTTTAAAAAGAGCCCAGGTTGAAACCAAAACCCAACTCAAGGTAAGGACAGATGCACCAGTAAGTGAATGCAAAAGGGATATTGGAACCAGAGACAAGGCCTTGGCCACATTGAGGAAAGGAAGATATAAGATAGAACGTGGAAATGAGAAAGTGCAGACTCGAAGTAAAGGGTCTACCCACCCAAAGAAAACAAGGAATGTATATCAGGTGAGAAGTGGGAAAAGAAGGAGCTTACGCATCACTGAGAGAAAACTGGAACTGCAACATGAAATAGCCGAAATAATGAGTTTAAAACAACATACTAAGTCTGATGAAATGTCAGCAAGAAAGGAAAAAAAGGCAATAAATAGAGTGGCTGTATTGAGGAAAGAGGGTAGACCTGACACTTCAAAGAGAATGAGGACTTTGCATCAAGGGATCAAGAGAATGAAACACGATGCCAGGGGAGAAAAGAAGTTGAAAGGAAAACAAATATCCAATAAAAAGACGAAAGAAAGAATGGGTAAATGGCACCACAGTGTTCCATGCTCAACAGCCACCCGAAACACCTTGTCAGCATTAGGTGATGTTGCAACAGAGGACGCTCAAACAGCAGACACTGTGGAGGAAGAAGAGAGTGAAAATGATGAGGAAAACGAGGAAGATAGGAGTCTAACATTGGGAGCAGCAGCTGTTTCTACAGGTATGTTTCAGTCTAGCCAGCACAAGCACTCTCGTAATATCAATGATGGTAAGGAATGAGAACAACTAGTTTTGGACATTTTAAAAGACATTTTATATGTTTTGTTCTTGTAATACATACTTAGCCAGTATGTCTAAAGGCCAATATCATGGTACAAAAGGCCATGTGATTTTCCAGTATTATCTTCATGACGCCAGTGTCACCATTACCTTCATGCGTCAGTGAATACATATCGAATTTCAACTATGTCTAATATACCGATAGTAACACAAGAGTAATAGCCTCTAAAATGGTTGTTTTATGCTTTGTTTCCAACAGCAGTGACTACTCTGACACGTCGTATTGCCGAACAAGGCACATCTGTCTGCCAAGAACCCGTCATGTCATTGATGACTTCACAATCTCAAACACAAGAAATGGACACATCCTGGGTACCAACATCATCTGGTGCTCCTTCAAGTAAGAATATCTGTCTTGAACTGGTGTGATTCAGTTTGACATGAAATGAAGAAGACATAATTTTCACTTGCTTTCAATGCCCATTATATCTTTTGGGGTATTTGACAATCGAGTTAAGAAAATAATCTCTTCCCGTGGATGCTGAACAAATAGTATGTGCCCAGGTTTTTCACAAAAACTGATATCATTCACTGTGCAGTGGGATGTTATGAAAAACACATCTCGAATATTAGATGGTTGGTGCCTTATATGATTACGTGAGGTGTCATGAATTGGGGGTTAACATTGCGTTGAAGATTATTGCTCTTATTTAGGCTCGTATCTTTGTATTTTTGCGTGTCTGTTTGTGTTGATCAATGAATCGGTTTAATTAATATCATAAAATTGAGCAAATTTCCATCTTCATTTGTTGTTCGTCTCCTTATATCTGAACAACAAGCGAGTAAAGGATTCTGTAATTTACGATGTGTAAATGGTGTTGGCTCTTCATGAGGGTCGAGTTAACAAAGAATTTTGTACATTACAGCCATTCAGGTTAACGTTCTTCAAGTCAAACAGCAGTTTGGAGATGTGACGATGAAGGGGGCCAGAAATGTGACCTTCGGTGGAACGCAGAACATCGGCAAATCTCAGCCCTGTCCCCAGGAGGACGAGGAGAAACTGCTGACTACAGTACAGAAGATCAGGAGTGAGTTCCAGAGGATAACAACTCCTCCCAATTATAGTCATCAAGCATGAGCACGAATTACATGATGAGAGAAATAGCATAGCCATCAGACATTAGCCTTGAAAATAATGATGGATACAATCTAGTCGTCAAGCGTGAAGCATTAACATGGTGAAAGTATAGTGAAGCAATAGTTAGGGATAACAGACCAATAGACGCTGCAATATAACGGCTGCACAATATACAGCAAATTCATTTGAAAAGTTTCCATTTATCAAACATGTAATATTTCCATGATTCTGAGTCATTACTCTTTCAATCTTAAAAATATACATAACATGTCAGGAAAATAGATAATTTAAAAACAATTATTGTAGATATGAAAAGTAACATCAAGTCAACACGTTTTGTCTCAAAGAAAAGCTTTTGTTATTTCCAAAATTGTTTTACATATTTACATTTCAATAATAGATGAGAATGAATCTCAGATTCACATTTGCGATTTAACCACTGATTCGTAGCTCATTCACTTATACATGATACGTTGATCAGTTGTTTGATCAGATAATAACTTATCACATAGTACAGCAAGTTTGGAAAGTATTTTAGTGGATAGCAGGGTTGAAAAGATTATCAGATTTGTAAGTTCGAATATGTTTTGCGGTTTTTCAGAACGAACAGAATTAAGGATACAGAGGTGGACCCAAGGTATGGTTAAAACACAGGCACTACAGAAGGTGATGGAGAAGATTGACAGAGGAGCAAGATGGGTGACAATAAAGGGCAGACCAGGAGAGGGGAAGTCTACAGTGGCCTACATGGCCCTCGGAGATCTGCACAGCCAAGGGAGACAAGTATTCCAAGTTGTGTCCCCAGAGGAATTCAATGAGGTCACCAGGACCTGTACCAACCCAGTGATTATGTTGGATGATATATTTGGTGATCTGGAATTTGACGTTGCAGAGTGGACCAAATGGAGACCCTCTCTTCGTCCCATTCTTGATAAGCCTGACTTGGAGCTAAATGAAACTTTAAATAAGTTAACTGACATCAATCCAGAGCAAAATCGAAAGAAACAATCTTTATTTATTCTTGTAGGACGTGATTATGTACTAAAATCCTCTTTACAAGACCTTGGAAGAGTGAGGGAATATGTTACAAGCAGTAAACATCTAGTCGAACTCTCACCAACCAGACATCATGAAGAAAAACTTAATATTTTGATATCAGTTTTTCGAATGGAAGGTGTTGACATTGAGAAAAAAGTCATTTTTAAATTAAGCCACATCGCGTGTCCACATGGGTTTCCACATGTCTGTAAACTTTTTGCCACAGCCTTTAAACAGAATGCCAAGGTATCAGCAGAGGAGTTTTTCACGAGTCCTCTTGAATTTCTAAACCAAACTTTGCAGAAATTAATAAACAATAAATCAAAGTATCAACTCCTGAAGGCAATGATCCAAGGAAATGGTAAAGTGTCCCAGTCTGAATTGTATAAAGACAAATACAAGATGCATGACTGTGTATCATCTGCCAATGAGCTTGTTGGGTCATATCTGAAGCTGGAAGATGGTACATACATGTTTGACCATCCATCAATCTATGACAGTGTTGCATTTCTTCTGACTGAAAAAGATCCAGTATTTGTCATTGAGAATTGTAGTCTCTCATTCATCAACCAGCGACTTAGACATGGGACTGTTGAAAACCAAGGTTTGGTTGCAGAAATCCCACTTTTCTGCATTGACAACTTGGTGCAGAGATTTGCCTTGGAGATTCAGCAGGGCAACTTGGCATATGTAATCTCACACCAAATCTGTTGTGATCCAGATTTCATTGATAAAATGATGAACATACTGAAAGAACAATATCAGATATCTATATATACATTTCTGAGGAACACTGATAAAGAAACACAAGAATCCTGTTTGGAGTTGCTTCCAAGCAACAAATCTTCAACCATGGTGAAATACATACTGGAGAAGGGAAACATTACACTGCATCAGACAGAGATAGATGAGATATTATACGGTGCGTGCAAACATGCTGCAGGTAATGTGCTGACATATCTGACACAACATGTAAAACTGGACATCAATGCGACCTACGGCGAATGTGAACAGACCCCGCTGATGATAGCAGCTGAGACTGGAGATTGTAACTTTGTACACCAGATACTTCGCCTTCTTCCTGATCTGAATGCATCTGACAGAAATGACACAACTGTGCTGCATTACCTGTGTGAACATGGTCTTGTGTCAGCTGTGGAGTATGTGATTGACAAGGGTGTTGATATTGATGTAACAGATCAGATGGAAGAAACTTCACTTTTTCTAGCGTGTCGGTCTGGTCACAAGGGCGTAGTGAAACTGTTACTGGATAGAGGAGCACTAGGTTATGTGGATAACTGTTATACGTCTCCTCTACTTGCGGCTTGTCTCAATGGCGAGGAAGAAATTGTAAAACTGGTGCTGGATAGAGCTGATGTTGATAGTAAATTTAAGGATTTGTCTCTGGGTTTGACATGTGCTTGCGGCATTGAGGGAATAGTAAAAGTTTTGCTGGACGGAGGAGCAAATGTTGCTGGTCATGATATCGATTTCAGGCCTCTGTATGAAGCATGTAAACATGGACATGCGAACATTGTTAAGACTTTACTTGTGGCAGGAGCAGAACTTAGTGGCGATGAAGTGTGTGCTTCATGTACAAGTGGGAATCTGGATGTTGTTGAGATGCTGTTTGATAAAGGAGCCACAGTCAATATGATATCGACGGGTGGACAACTCCCTCTTCATGCAGCATGTGAAAGTGGAAAGTTGGATGTCGTGAGAATTTTGACGGGGAAAGGAGCAAATGTCAGCATGGTGGCTCCAAATGGAAATACTACACTGCACTCAGCGTGCAAGGGAGGAAGCCAAGAGGTTCTTCTATATTTACTTGAACAGCTTTATACGTCTCACGAAGAAGACCAAAAAGAAGTTGGTCAATCGGCTGAAGGTTTCAGAAAGCAGAAAGCTGACAATAATTCAGATATCAAGTCAAGAGACACCCCGACAGCTGCAGCGAGAGTAAATGTAGAGGATAACACAGGAAACACACCACTTCATAACGCATCAATGTGTGGATCGGAAGAGTGTGTTGAACTGTTACTGAAGGCTGAGGCTGATATACAGGTACAGAATAGATCAGTCGACACACCACTTCATAACGCATCAATGTGTGGATCTCAAAAGTGTGTTGATATGTTACTGAAGGCTGGGGCTGATGTTAAAGCACAAAACAACTCAGGTTACACTCCACTTCATGAAGCATCAATCTATGGATCGAAAGAGTGTGTTAAACTGTTACTGAAGGCTGGGGCTGATGTACAGGTACAGAATAGAACAGGCGACACACCACTTCATAACGCATCAATGTTTGGATCTCAAAAATGTGTTGATATGTTACTGAAGACTGGAGCTGATGTTAAAGTACAAAACCAGACAGGCGACACTCCACTTCATAACGCATCAGGGCGTGGAATGAAAGAACGTTTTGACCTGTTACAGAAGGCTGGCGTGAATGTTGGGGATAAGATAGGACGCGCGACACTCCATAGAGTATCATTGTATGGATCGAAAGAGTGTGTTGAACTGTTACTGAAGGCTGGGGCTGATATACAGGTACAGAATAGATCAGGCGACACACCACTTCATAACGCATCAATGTTTGGATCTCAAAAGTTTGTTGATATATTACTGAAGGCTGGAGCTGATGTGAAAGTACAAAACGAGAGAGGCGACACTCCACTTCATAACGCATCATGGTGTGGATGGGAAGAGCGTTTTGACCTGCTACACACGGCTTGCGTGAATGCTGGGGGTAACATAGGACGCGCGACACTCCATAGAGGATCAATGTATGGATCGAAAGAGTGTGTTGAACTGTTTCTGAAGGCTGGGGCTGATATACAGGTACAGAATAGAACAGGCGACACACCACTTCATAACGCATCAATGTGTGGATCTCAAAAGTGTGTTGATATGTTACTGAAGGCTGGGGCTGATGTAAAAGTACAAAACAACTCAGGAAACACACCACTTCATAACGCATCAATGTGTGGATCGGAAGAGTGTGTTAAACTGTTACTGAAGGCTGGGGCTGATGTACAGGTACAGAATAGAACAGGCGACACACCACTTCATAACGCATCAATGTTTGCATCTAAAAAATGTGTTGATATGTTACTGAAAGCTGGAGCTGATGTGAAAGTACAAAACGAGACAGGCGACACTCCACTTCATAACGCATCAGGGTGTGGATGGGAAGAGCGTTCTGACCTGCTACAGAAGGCTGGCGTGAATGTCGGGGATAACATAGGACGCGCGACACTATATAGAGCATCAATGTATGGATCGAAAGAGTGTGTTGAACTGTTACTGAAGGCTGGGGCTGATGTACAGGTACAGAATAGATCAGGCGACATACCACTTCATAACGCATCAAAGTTTGGATCTCAAAAGTGTGTTGATATATTACTGAAGTATGGAACTGATGTAAAAGTACAAAACAACTCAGGCAACACAGCACTCCATTTAGCATCAATGTATGGATCGAAAGAGTGTGTTGAACTGTTACTGAAGGCTGGGGCTGATGTAAAAGTACAAAACAACTCAGGCTACACTTCACTTCATGGAGCATCAATCCATGGATCGAAAGAGTGTGTTGAACTGTTACTGAAGGCTGGGGCTGATATACAGGTACAGAATAGATCAGGCGACACACCACTTCATAACGCATCAATGTTTGGATCTCAAAAGTGTGTTGATCTATTACTGGAGGCCGGAGCTGATGTGAAAGTACAAAACGAGACAGGCGACACTCCACTTCATAACGCTTCAGGGCGTGGAATGATAGAGCGTTTTGGCCTGTTAGAGAAGGCTGGCGTGAATGTTGGGGATAAGATAGGACGCGCGACACTCCATAGAGTATCAATGTATGGATCGAAAGAGTGTGTTGAACTGTTACTGAAGGCTGGGGCTGATATACAGGTACAGAATAGAACAGGCGACACACCACTTCATAACGCATCAACGGTTGAATCTCAAAAGTGTGTTGACGTGTTACTGAATGCTGGAGCTGATGTAAAAGTACAAAACGAGACAGGCAACACCCCACTTCATGAAGCATCCAGGTGTGGATCTCAAAAGTGTGTTGAACTGTTACTGAAGGCTGGGGCTGATGTAAAAGTACAAAACAACTCAGGCTGCACAGCACTCCATTTAGCATCAATGTATGGATCGAAAGAGTGTGTTGAACTGTTACTGAAGGCTGGGGCTGATATACAGGTACAGAATAGATCAGGCGACACACCACTTCATAACGCATCAATGTTTGGATCTCAAAAGTGTGTTGATATATTACTGAAGGCTGGAGCTGATGTGAAAGTACAAAACGAGAGAGGCGACACTCCACTTCATAACGCATCAGGGTGTGGATGGGAAGAGCGTTTTCACCTGCTACAGAGGGCTGGCGTGAATGTTGGGGATAAGATAGGACTCGCGACACTCAATAGAGCATCAATGTATGGATCGAAAGAGTGTGTTGAACTGTTACTGAAGGCTGGGGCTGATATACAGGTACAGAATAAATCAGGCGACACACCACTCCATTTAGCATCCAGGTATGGATCTCAAAAGTGTGTTGATATGTTACTGAAGGCTGGAACTGATGTAAAAGTACAAAACGAGACAGGCGACACTCTCCTTCATGAAGCATCCAGGTGTGGATCTCAAAAGTGTGTTGAACTGTTACTGAAGGCTGGGGCTGATGTAAAAGTACAGAACAACTCAGGCTGCACAGCACTCCATTTAGCATCAATGTATGGATCGAAAGAGTGTGTTGAACTGTTACTGAAGGCTGGGGCTGATATACAGGTACAGAATAGATCAGGCGACACACCACTTCATAACGCATCAATGTTTGGATCTCAAAAGTGTGTTGATATATTACTGAAGGCTGGAGCTGATGTGAAAGTACAAAACAAGACAGGCGACACTCCACTTCATAACGCATCAGATAGTGGATGGGAAGAGCGTTTTGACCTGCTACAGAAGGCTGGCGTGAATGTAGGGGGTAACATAGAACAGGCGACACTCAATAGAGCATCAATGTATGGATCGAAAGAGTGTGTTGAACTGTTACTGAAGGCTGGGGCTTATATACAGGTACAGAATAGGTCAGGCGACACACCACTTCATAACGCATCCAGGTATGGATCTCAAAAGTGTGTTGATATGTTACTGAAGGCTGGAACTGATGTAAAAGTACAAAATAACTCAGGCAACACAGCACTCCATTTAGCATCAATGTATGGATCGAAAGAGTGTGTTGAACTGTTACTGAAGGCTGGGGCTGATGTAAAAGTACAAAACAACTCAGGCTACACTTCACTTCATGGAGCATCAATCCATGGATCGAAAGAGTGTGTTGAACTGTTACTGAAGGCTGGGGCTGATGTACAGGTACAGAATAGATCAGGCGACACACCACTTCATAACGCATCAATGTTTGGATCTCAAAAGTGTGTTGATATATTACTGAAGGCTGGAGCTGATGTGAAAGTACAAAACGAGACAGGCGACACTCCACTTCATAACGCATCAGGGCGTGGAATGAAAGAGTGTTTGTACCTGTTACAGAAGGATGGCGTGAATGTTGGGGATAAGATAGGACGCGCGACACATCATAGAGTATCAATGTATGGATCGAAAGAGTGTGTTGAACTGTTACTGAAGGCTGGGGCTGATGTACAGGTACAGAATAGATCAGGCGACACACCACTTCATAACGCATCAATGTTTGGATCTCAAAAGTGTGTTGATATATTACTGAAGGCTGGAGCTGATGTGAAAGTACAAAACGAGACAGGCGACACTCCACTTCATAACGCATCAGGTAGTGGATGGGAAGAGCGTTTTGACCTGTTACAGAAGGCTGGCGTGAATGTCGGGGATGACATAGGACGCGCGACACTCCATAGAGCATCAATGTATGGACCGAAAGAGTGTGTTGAACTGTTACTGAAGGCTGGGGCTGATATACAGGTACAGAATAGATCAGGCGACACACCACTCCATTTAGCATCCATGTATGGATATCAAAAGTGTGTTGATATGTTACTGAAGGCTGGAACGGATGTAAAAGTACAAAACAACTCAGGCTGCACAGCACTCCATTTAGCATCAATGTATGGATCGAAAAAGTGTGTTGAACTGTTACTGAAGGCTGGGGCTGATATTCAGGTACAGAATAGATCAGGCGACACACCACTTCAAAACGCATTAATGTGTGGATCTCAAAAGTGTGTTGATATATTACTGACGGCTGGAGCTGATGTAAAAGTACAAAACGAGAGAGGCGACACTCCACTTCTTGAAGCATCCAGGTGTGGATCTCAAAAGTGTGTTGAACTGTTACTGAAGGCTGGGGCTGATGTAAAAGTACAAAACAACTCAGGCTACACTTCACTCCATTTAGCATCAATGTATGGATCGAAAGAGTGTGTTGAACTCTTACTGAAGACTGGAGCTGATGCACAGGTACAGAATAGATCAGGCGACACACCACTTCATAACGCATCAATGTTTGGATCTCAAAAGTGTGTTGATATGTTACTGAAGGCTGGAGCTGATGTGAAAGTACAAAACGAGACAGGCGACACTCCACTCCATAACGCATCAGGTAGTGGATGGGAAGAGCGTTTTCACCTGCTACAGAAAGCTGGCGTGATTGTCGGGGATAACATAGGACTCGCGACATATCATAGAGCATCAATGTATGGATCGAAAGAGTGTGTTGAACTGTTACTGAAGGTTGGGGCTGATATACAGGTACAGAATAGATCAGGCGACACACCACTTCATAACGCATCCAGGTATGGATTTCAAAAGTGTGTTGACCTGTTACTGAAGGCTGGGGCTGATGTAAAAGTACAAAACGAGACAGGCAACACTCCACTTCTTGAAGCATCCAGGTGTGGATCTCAAAAGTGTGTTGAACTGTTACTGAAGGCTGGGGCTGATGTAAAAGTACAAAACAACTCAGGCTACACTTCACTCCATTTAGCATCAATGTATGGATCGAAAGAGTGTGTTGAACTCTTACTGAAGACTGGAGCTGATGCACAGGTACAGAATAGATCAGGCGACACACCACTTCATAACGCATCAATGTTTGGATCTCAAAAGTGTGTTGATATGTTACTGAAGGCTGGAGCTGATGTTAAAGTACAAAACGAGACAGGCGACACTCCACTCCATAACGCATCAGGTACTGGATGGGAAGAGCGTTTTGACCTGTTAGAGAAGGCTGGCGTGAATGTCGGGGATAACATAGGACTCACGACACATCATAGAGCATCAATGTATGGATCGAAAGAGTGTGTTGAACTGTTACTGAAGGTTGGGGCTGATATACAGGTACAGAATAGATCAGGCGACACACCACTTCATAACGCATCCAGGTATGGATTTCAAAAGTGTGTTGACCTGTTACTGAAGGCTGGGGCTGATGTAAAAGTACAAAACGAGACAGGCGACACTCCACTTCATGAAGCATCAGGGTGTGGATCTCGAAAGTGTGTTGATCTGTTACTGAAGGCTGGGGCTGATGTAAAAGTACAAAACAACTCAGGCTACAGTCCACTCCATAACGCATCAGGGTGTGGATGGGAAGAGCGTTTTGACCTGCTACAGAAGGCTGGCGTGAATGTCGGGGATAACATAGAACTCGCGACACTCCATAGAGCATCAATGTGTGGATCGAAAGAGTGTGTTGACCTGTTACTGAAGGCTGGGGCTGATATACAGGTACCGAATAGATCAGGCGACACACCACTTCATAACGCATGAGGTGTGGATCTCAAAAGTGTGTTGATATGTTACTGAAGGCCGGCGCTTTTGTAAAAGTACAAAACGAAACAGGAGACACACCACTCCATGCAGCATCAATGCATTGATCGAAAGAGTGTGTTGATCTGTTACTGAGGACTGGAGCTGATGTAAAAGTACAGTATAGCACTGGCGACACACCACTCCATAAAACATCAAAATCTGGATCGAGAGAATGTGTTGATCTCTTACTGAAGGCTAGAGCTGATGTCCAATTACAAAACAACACTGGCAACACACCACTTCATGGCGTAGCAATTCTATTAACGAAAGTGTGTGTTGATCTGTTACTGAAGGCTGGAGCTGCTGTGAATGTAGAAAATAACACAGGCGACACATAGCTTTATGGAGGATCAATGCGTGGATCGAAAGAACGGATTGATGTGTTACTTAAGGTTGGAGCTGAAGTGAATGTACATAATACACCAGGCAACACACCACTTTATGGAGGATCAATGCGTCTACGAAAGAGTGTGTTGATCTGTTACTGAAGGCTGGAGCTGGTGTAAACGTAGAGAATAGTACGGTCGACACGCCACCACATGGAGTATCAATGCATGGATCGTAAGTGTTTGTTGATATATTACTGGAGCCTGGAGCTGGTGTGAATGTACGGAATAACACAGGCAACACACCACTTCATGGCGCATCAATGTCCCGATGGAAAGAGTGTGTTGACCTGTTACTGACGGTTTGAGCTGATGTGTATGTAGAGAATAACAAGGGAGCCACACGACTCCATGGAGCAGCAATGCGTAGATCGATAGAGATTTATTATGTTATTGAATATCGGAGCTGTTGTTAACTTACGCAACAAACACAAGCGACACACCACTCTGGATTAAAGAGTGGTTCTCAAAAGTGGGTTGATATGTTACTGAGGGCTGGAGCTATTGTGAATGTACAGAATAACAATGGGGCCACACTGCTTCTTGGAACATTATGTGTGGGTGACAAAAGGTCGTGCACTGCTTACGTACCTCTTCATGAGCATCGAGGAGCGAATGGAAATGATGTTTTGATATGTTACCGGGGTTCATGTAAATATGAAAAACCCACAGACGTCACACGAGTCGATAGAGCATCAGTGAGTGGATCGAGAGAATGGCTTCATGTGTCAGTTATGGCAGGAGCCGATGGAAATGTACAAAATACGGCAGGTGACACATCACTTTAACCCTCATTTAGCTGGGCCGTCCGCTGGCTTTGTATACCGCTTGGTGCCGTATTGTGACACATCACTTTAATCCTCATTTAGCTGGGCCGTCCGCTGGCTTTGTATACCGCTCGGTGCCGTATTGTGACATATCACTTTCACCCTCATTGAGCTGGGCCGTCCGCTGGCTTTGTATACCGCTCAGTGCCGTATTGTGACACATCACTTTAATCCTCATTTAGCTGGGCCGTCCGCTGGCTTTGTATACCGCTCGGTGCCGTATTGTGACATATCACTTTCACCCTCATTGAGCTGGGCCGTCCGCTGGCTTTGTATACCGCTCAGTGCCGTATTGTGACACATCACTTTAACCCTCATTTAGCTGGGCCGTCCGCTGGCTTTGTATACCGCTCGGTGCCCTATTGTGACACATCACTTTCACCCTCATTTAGCTGGGCCGTCCGCTGGCTTTGTATACCGCTCGGTGCCGTATTGTGACACATCACTTTCACCCTCATTTAGCACGGCCGTCCGCTGGCTTTGTATACCGCTCAGTGCCTTATTGTGACACATCACTTTCACCCTCATTGAGCTTGGCCGTCAACTGGCCAAGCGCCCTTGTCTGACATCAATTGGCAAAATAATCATATCATTTAAAGTACATATCCTATCTATAATAGGCATTGGATTTTTATGTCAAAGTACACATTCATTGGAACTTGTCCACGTTGTTAATTTACCGATAAGAAGTCCCGATGAAAGTTAAGTGTTTTAACGTAAAAGAAATTGACGGAAGTGGTCGTGATTGTTTCATACGCTGAGTGTTTCAAAGATTACCTTTAATCAGTTTCAGTGTCGGTGCTCTTTCATTTGTGATAACTCGGGGAAATTGACATCCAACATTTTCAAAGGACAAAAAGTAAATAGGGCTATATAACCCGAACAATACTCAAATTGATAACCAAATATCCGACATAATTTATTCTTTACTAGCAATGAACAAGCTTATTCTACCGTACGATCAAACAGGATTGATTAAATAAATAAATAAATCACAACGTAGAAGAAAATGTAAACCAGTCCCCAAAACACAATCACATTGGCGCTGTCAGTGAGTTTAACATGACATAATATCACTTGATACTCTAAATCGCAGTCGCAGACCGTATTCGCAAACGCAAACGTAGGCAAAATCGGTGACTGGCCCTAACTCGGGCGCACACACGCACCATGCAAGCCGCTTATTCATACTTCGTGTGTTATGATGTGCTGTTGATATTTATATCTTATTTAAGAAAACATGAATTTCTCCAGAAACTTACACAGAAAGAAATAATTGTTGTTGTTCTTACAGTACAATTATTATCAATATCTAGGATACGTGAAAGACAAAATAACGAAAATAGGAATTACCTCGATTTGTATTGTATTGTACTGCATTACATTGTGTTGTTTTGTATTGTATTGTTCAATGTATATACTCTTCATGTGCTAAAAAAATGTGTTTCACAAAGACCACCAGGAAACACATTCTCGCCTCATCTTATATTTACCACTTGGCTGCCTACTTTGCGCAATAGATACTTGTATGGCCAATCCATGAAATAACACTTTTTTGTTCATATATCTTTTTATAAATGAGAATTGTATTTGAAATAGATAATGATCATAGATCAATGAACTAATGGAGTTATTTGTCATAAAAGGAAAAGCAGAATATATACATGTAATAGGTTTTTAGTAGTGAACTATGAAAATAGAACTAGCAAAATCGTTCACAAGTGGTTTTCAGTAATAATATCTTTCCCTTTTTTCACTTTTGGCCAAGCTTAACTACATCATATGGAGGGAACAAATATAATTCAGAATTGTTAAGAAACCCCTTTAAATAAACTCAAGAATCGATTCATCTTGCTCTCAGACTAGTGTCACCAGCCATGATATTGCTGGAATATTGCTAAAAGTGGCGTAACACCATACTCACTGACTCGCTCTCTCAGACAAGATATATTTTATACATATTATATTTTTTAGTAAGGAAACAAAAAAATCAAATATTACTTAATACGAATGTAGATCACAATGTATTGATCGAAATAATTGATAATTTAGATCAAGCAGGGTAAATAAAAGTATATTGAAAACTATTTAAATTATCAACACCTTTTTTACATTTACAATGAAAACCTTTTGTCATTCAGAAATCTGTTATCTATATATTGTGTGCAGTTACTATTTATGTTATTTATTGAACCATTCGAGAACGATATGTGTGGCTAAAATATTTAAAAAAGGCTGTGCAATCTTGGATCCAATTTGACAGCTTTCTCACTGTAAAAGATTCCATTCCCGTACTCAACTGTATGTACATTAGCGTTTTTGATTTTATGATTGTAAATATGTTGCTCAGACGTGGGAGCTTGTTCTCAACTGGTTAACGACATCAGTGGAAGGGAGACAACTCTCTCAATGTAGTTATATTACTTATCAAATGTATTGTGTTTTAAAAATCACGAAAAGGGTTTTCAGCTAAAGTTGAAATAAATTTAAGGTAAAATTATTAGATAGTACAATATGACCAAATTAATTGCATTCTTAAATTGCAATTATACAGCTTTCTTTTAGTTCTGGTCTTCCTTGCACAAACTTGTTTAATCCTAGGAATATAACATGATAACATATTTTATGATTGTCTATATTTGCAATTTGCTTTGAAAGTTTGAAATAAAGGGAGTGGATTTTGAATTATGTATAATTGTTGAAATGTTGCACATTGTATTTTATTTGAAATGTGAATAAAGATTTTAAAAATTAAAAAATTAAAAAACGTATTGTTTCTTAATAGCACACCTTCAAACAGACATGAAAAGCACATGTTAACATACCAAAATTAGACAACTGTGCCAAATTCTAACGGCGTTAGTCAGGCGATAAACGATCTCACTTAGTCATCGATCGCCGTGGAAATCTTCCCAAACGTGGTGTACTAGATATACGTTCTAGTTCAGATCAGTTAAGTCAAAGAATATTATTATTTAGAAGATGAAACAACGTACATGTACGTATAAAAAGAGAATTTGATGCAATGGCCGGAAGAAATTCCAATATCGTGTCATTTTAGTTACAGCTTTCACTGTATATATTCAAAATTATAAGAACAATAAGCGTAGCACTTTGGTACAGGTGACTGCTATTGCCGGATAGTTGTACGTATGGAACAATTTGACCAGTCACCGTAGGGACTTCCCGCGCTACATGTATTTTGATTGCGAAAACGCTTTGTTGACATTTAATATACATGTATATATATCGTGGACCATGAGGAGCTTATAATTATAAGCCTATTCGGGCCCTCGAGGAGCACCTGTCGCATCACCCCTTTAATTCTATATCTGGCCGAGATTCCAAGTTTATCAAGCCACCTGGAAACGAGCTACAACTACAGTTACATATATCAACTATTATCAGTTCATGCACGGATCCAAATTGCTTTTATACACAATGTACCACTGGAAAGATTATTCCTGTTCTAGTGAGTGAGTGAGTGAGTATGGTTTTACGCCGCGTTAAGCAATATTCCAGCAATATCATGGCGGGGGTCATCAGAAATGGGCTTCACACATTGTACCCATATCGGGAATCGAACCAAGGTCTTTGGCGTGACGAGCGAACGCTTTAACCACTAGGCTACCCGACCGCCTATTCCTGTTCTTAATAAGAACATGAGATAGTGTCACAAAACAGGTTGCTACCTTGCTTTTGTGCAGCAATGTCAAGCGTGTGTTATACAATAATGTAATTATTAATTATAGTTATATTATCCATAGGAATATAAGGCCATGTAATATTTATTATGAAAGAGAAGTGTCAATTAACTATGATAATTATGAGGATCTGGTTACCGTCTTGCATACACGTGTAATATGTAAGAATGATGTTAACAACTCCTTATAACCATTGCTTGC